AGGTATTAAGTACAGATATAGGTTCTAGGGAAGATCTGGGGTGAAGGTATTAAATTATCAACTTGTATATTATATTTTTCCTCTCTTTGTTCCTTGTACCTTTCTTTAGCTCTTGAATTAGGTGAATTGGTGGGTATCCATTTGCTAATTTGGCTGTGCAGTCACATATTATGGTGGCCAAAGCTCATATCCCTATTATATGTTCATGTATCATGGATCATCTACTCTAACACCATGATTATGTGAACCTACACAAGTGCTCCTGTTTCATAACTGATATGCTCCTATCACATGCATCTGCTATCGTGCCATAGTTGACTGTAAGTTCACAGGATATTGGTGTTTATCCACGCACTGTACTTACATGAGCAAGCACCATGGTTGTCTACTTTTGCAATGTGGCCTGGCTTCTTCACTAACTTTAAAACCAGTATTAGGTTTTACTTTCTGCCTCACCTGCATAGTTGTCTGAATAATTATGTCATTATATGATGTTCCTTTGCTGTAATTTTCAGTTTATTCACCATGAATATGAGTACTATATTTGTGTGTTCATATGTTATAGGTAACTATTTATTCACTATGCTAATTATTGCCCTAGGATATAAATTCTTAGCTATGGCCACTTGCATTCATTATCTGTCTGTTCCAGTAAAACAGATTTGAGCATCTCTGCCTACTCATGGACCGTGATATTCCATAGCTCTTAAACTATGTCACTTCATTCCTGTATCATGGTTGCTGTGATAAAAACATTGTGTGTGCATACTCCATGGTTAAGGATAAGTATACCACATATTTCTTTACATGCATCAGGATTGTATAAGCATATACTGTAAATGTTTTCCATTACATGGATACCTAACCATGTTCTAAGGCTCTTTTTTTAAAAAAAAATGTATTTATTTATTATAAAGATGAGGGGTACAATTCAGGGTTAGGTATGCAAACATTGATCATGCAGGTACCCCTGTTGATGAGGTATGCTCCTCCCCCCCAGCAGTTTCCCACAACTGCCAATCCCACCCCCCCTACAGTTTCCCATTACTGCTCATCGCTTTCTTATAGCATTATAATTGTTCAAGGCCACCTTATGAGTGAGAACATATGGAACTCATCAGTTTTCAGTTTATGCATTATAGTCACTTGAAAAATCACAAAGTTTGTCAAAATAAGTATTTGGGGTGTCTGTTGTCCTAAAGTCCTTGTCTATATTTGTTTGATGGTTGTCTGAGCATGTAACATGGACGTATGTTCATTTAATGCTAATATCTTCTTATGTGCCATATATATCAGATTTGCGTGTGTACCTGATTTAGATGTTGTTCTCTGGATATTTGCTAACTTCACAAGACTACCTCTTCCTGTGGCATGCTTTTCTAAAAAAAAAAAACATAATTATGGTAAAAAGCACATATCATAAAATGTGCCACCTTAGTCATTTAAAATGTATGTAGTGTTAAGTATTTTCACATCTTCTAATGCATAATTGTTGTTTGGACATGGGATTTAGTTATGATTTCATAACATTGTTGTCTTTTATGCATCATACTATATATTATAGTTTTCTCCTTCCATATCAAGGTCATTGCCGTCCATGGTTAGTGTGACAATTTGCCATGATAATTTGAACATAACCCATAGCTGCATACTAGAATAGTATAGGTGAACACACACTATGGAGCTCTCTGTTTCTGCAGCATGGCTGTCTTTTCTTCATTCAGGATTGTTACTCATGCATCGTGGTTATGTCTTATATTCCATAGATTATTTCTATAATTTGGATTTCATATCTTGTACCAAGTCTCTCTTTTCCTGTAGAAGAGTTGTTAATTCATGTATCATGATTATTTGAGCACTAACCCTTGTCACGTGATCATATAACATTAGGGTCTGCTGAAGCACTATGGATATTTGAACATATATCAAAGTTACTGCCCATAACATGGATGTTATTCATGCCCCAGAGTTGTTTGATCATGCACCATATTTTCTTACTCATCTGGTATGGTTTTCTGAACTGTATTGTTCCTGAACATTCCTGCAAAATGTCCATCAACTCTTTTATAGCTCAAGAACTATGGATGCCACAGGACATATATTGACCATGCAAATTATTGTTTAGTGAAACAAAAATGACCAACGTTTGGCAATTTCATATGGTGCAGCCTCATATGATTATTTCTGTCTCTGATGTGGTTGCTTCATCATGTCAGAAATCTAACTTCTCTGCTATCATAGCTTTTTTTTTCATGTACCTATACCAGGTTCATGAAGGTAGCCTAATATATGAGGGAGACCCCTAAAATTATAATTATCTTTTTGGAGAGTATGTCCCTTGTAGTACACTCGGAATTTGTTCCTCCAGATTAAACGGACAGCCCAAATTTTTATCTGGTTTTGAGATGGTTGCATCATGATTTGTGGAAGGAATAAACCAGTTGTGCAAACAGTGACTGGTTCTTCCACCATGATAACGTTCCTGCCCACACTGTGCTGAGTGTTCAGCAGTTTTGGACTAAAAGTAGCATGAACCCTGTGCCGCCCCACCTTCCCTATTCACCCAATCTTGCCCCAAGTGACTAATTTTTCTTTCCCTGGATGAAGAAAGTACTCAAAGAGAAATGTTTTGCCGATGTGGAAGAGGTGGAAAAAAATGGCAGAGGCACTAAAAGCCGTCAAAATTGACAATTTCAAAAACTGTTTTGAGCAGTGGAAAAAAGTCTCACTCGACAGGTGTATTGCATCAAATGGAGAGTACTTTGAAGGTGACTGAAGCTTAAACATGTAAGAATGTGTAGTTTTTTTAATAAATAAATTCCGAGTTTTGGGGGTCTCCTCATAGAACCCAGTGGCTGCTTTTAAGAGGGATGAATTTCAAAGGACTCTTGCTCTAAATCTTGTCAGCTAGAATAGCTCTTCAGTGTGTATCTGTTTTACATATTGTCTCTTGCATAAGCTTCTCTTGGGAAAAAAAAGTTTTATAAATCTCCACTTCCTCTGAAAATTAATCCACTGATATGACTGCAAGAGTATGGGTTGGGTAAGAGTTAGGTCTCCCTCAAGTTGTCAGTGTCTCAGATTCAGAGAAACTACATGGATTAGAAACAGAAAGTGTCACAATGACAGAATTTCCTTCTGTTTAATGATGAATAGTATTCCACTGTGTGTGTGTGTGTGTGTGTGTGTGTGTGTGTGTGTATGCATACATAACACATTTTCTTTATTGATGCATTTGTTGATGGATTCTTAGATTGATTCCATATTTTGACTATTGTGATTAATGATGCAATGAACATGGGAGTGCAGACATCTCCCAAACATGCAGATGGTACCCAAATTATGATGATTCAACTTATGATTTTTCAACTTTACAATTGGTTTATCAAAGTATTAAATGCATTTTGACTTATGATACTTTTTATTTACAATGGGTTTATGGGGCATAGCCCCATCGTAAGTCTAAGAGCATCTGTACTGATTTCATATCCTTTGACAATATATCCAGTAGGAGGATTGCTGGATCATATGGTAGTTCTATTTATAGTTTTGTAAAGAAACTCCATTCTGTTTTCTATAATAGCTGTAGTAATTTAGTGGAATACTATTCATCATTAAAAAGAAGGAAATCCTGTCATTTGTGGCAGTGGATGAATGTGGAGGACATTATGTGACATGAAATAAGCCAGGCACAACAAGACAAATATAGCATATCTCACATATATATAGAATGTAAAAAATTGAAGTCATAAAACTGGGGAGTATATAGTGGTAACAGGGTCTGGGAATGGGAAGAAGGTGATTAAGGAGAAGTTGGTCAAAGGACACAAAATTTCAGCTGGATAAGGAATGCATTAAAGAGATATATTATACAACAAGGTGACTAGAGTTAATCATAATGCATCGCATTTTTGAAAAATGCTAAGAAAATAGAATTTAAGTGCTCCTACCACATGTAATGATAAGTATGTAATGTATGTATTAATTAGCTCAATTTAGCCTTTTCACAATGTACACATTGTATACATATTTCAAAACAGCAAGCCATACATAATAAATATCTATAATTTATTTGTCAATGTAAGAAGTGGCTAAGATAATGAAACAAACAAACAAATATAGAATATCTGAAAAAAAAAAGAAGCAGAAAGTGAGTGTCACTTTACTGGCTGCTTTCTTACCTCATGTCCTAGGTAAACCTCTACCCATCCAGAGTTCATAAAACAGCCCTGCATATAGGGAACTCCAAATCACTAATTTTATCACCAGTATAATTTGCTGACTTCTTAGGGACTTCTGTGCCAAGAGGAAGGCTCCTATCTAAAGAAGTGGGGTTTATCCTTAATTATTTCTTGATAAGAAAATACTGCATTATTATTCAAGAGCGATGATTTTTCCCTATTTAACATTTTCTCAACCTGATTCAGAGGAAACAGTCTATCTACCTTAAGCCCTTTGATATTTTTGAAAATTGCTTAACTTTATCAAGATGAGAATCAGTCCCAAAAATGCTATAAAGAGACTCCAGGTCTTAATATACTAAGATATTATAATTCTCTACATTATTACACAGTTAACCAAGGAAAAGGCCTTTGTGACGCTGCCGACTAAATAGAGGATTAGAGGGCAATAAAGACATGAGAAACTAATTTAAGCTCTTGGATTATAAGAGGTAACTCAGGTTAAGGGAAGTTCTGTGCCTCACTTAGAGATGAAACTGCTACCTGGTTACTGACATAGAGCTGTTTGTACTATCCTGTGCATACTTTATTGAATGGGCTCTGGAATATTCAGGAGAAGGGTATATTAGAAGTGAATTGTGGTGACATTGATAAACTGGGGAAAACGGGCTATCAAATCAAGCATAAAGTAACCGGATACTAGGGAAATTACATGACTCTAATAGAGTTGAATGAAATATTTTTTAATCAATTTCTCCTCCCTCCCTTTGTTTTCTATCCCTCCCCTCTTCCCCTTTCTCTAAATTGTGAATCTCACAGGTCTCTCCAAGTTGATACCTAAGAAGATGATAATCACACAAATGAATAACTACTACGTGACCAGCCTTGGGCTTCTTTTCCTGATTAACATTTTCCCTGGAACCACTGGCCAAGGAGAAACAAGACGACAAGAACCTGGGGACTTTGTGAAGCAGGATATTGGCGGGTAAGAATCCCTAACTCTTGAAATGGAAGAAGACTGTGATAAATACTAACCTCAGAACAAAACTTCAGATTTTTTTCTCCTAGATGAACCCAAATACTCTGGTCTCTGATACTTATACATTACATTGTATTTGGAAAAATGCATCAGCTCAGACTCGAGGTGGAAAGAGATAATGAAAGGTCTTTTTTCTGGGGCTACGCCCTGGCCCATGCTTAAATTTTCTCTGTTAATATCTTATAAACTGTTCTCTCCAGCCTTTTGCTCTCAATTTTATCTCTTCTATCTTAGAACTTCAACCTGTCCCTTGACATTTAAACATGATCAAGAATCTCCTATCTTAAATGTTTAAACCTTTCTTCCAGATAGTGCCTGAAGTCTTTGCTCCCCTTCACAGCCATACTTATTGAGGAAATGCTATGCTTCATTGTCTCTGTGAGCTTCTCACAAAGATGAAACTGCTGCCTGGTTACTGACACAGAGCTGTTTATACTATCCTGTGCGTACTTCCTCTGCCTGCTACTATCTGAATTCCAACCCCATGATTGTAAGGCAACTCCTGTAACAAAGATGGCCCGTGTTGGTTCTGTTGCTAAAATGAACACTTGTCTGTCCTTATGATGTTCAATTTATTTAGTGGTATGCAGCAACATTTAATGTTGTTGACTTTTCCCTCCTAAACTTCTTTTTATTATGAAGTAAAAATAAATGCATATAGAAATATGCATAAAATCTAAATATATAGTTTAAAAATAATTCCCTCTTTGACTTCAGAGACACCACAATTCCTCAGTGCTTAGATGAGCTTCTCTAGAAGCAGGCAATGAAACAAAGATTCTTGAACAAATGACTTACTGAGAGGTCCTTCTTAGGAAAATCTTTTTTAAAAAGTAAGGGCAGCAAGATAGGGAAAGGGAAGAAGTAAAGCAAAGGTGTCACCTCAATATGACCCCATGAGGAGATACGGAGCATAAATGGGACAACAGGTCTGTCCTACTTTGAGGCAAAAGGCTCAGACTTTTGTACCCTCAACTCAGTCAGTCATTGCCTATGCGCCTTCTGGAGGAAGACATAGTCTCCCAGGTATTATAGAGCAAGGTGGCTCCCTTTAGCAGATAGTAACTCTCCAAGGTAACTAGAGAGTAGTTTTCCTGGTTTAGTAAAAGTAATCTGGGGATAGTACCAATAGTAAATATTAAAACTGGTCTTTTTTATACTTTTATGGTTATGCTTTCTATAATATTTTTCATAATATTACACAGCAATATCAAAGATCTTTGTGATACAAGGATTGTTTTTTGTCTTCTCTTCTTTTGTTCTTCTCTAAGATGTTGGAGTGAGTGTGTGTGTGTGTGTGTGTGTGTGTGTGTGTGTGCGTGTGTGTGTTCTAGACATTTTTCTCACCATACATACCCTCTGAATGATTCCATCCATGTCTATGACATTGTTACCTTATATACCTAAATGCCAATGACTCTCATCTCAGTTTCCATTCTTGACTTCTCTTGAGTATCAGACATATATCCAACTGTCTATTGGACATGACCACTTGGCTATGTCACAAACTCCTTAAACTAAGCATGTCCAACATAGTCTCATCATCTTCATATCCCTCCTCCACCCTAAAGAACAAACAAAACAAAACAAGCAACAGACAAATAAAACATATTCCTCTTCCCTTTTTTTTCCTGTTTCAGTCAATAGCACCACCGTGCACCCAGTTGCTCAAGCCAGAAACTTGGAATCATTTTTGCCAGACTGAATCAATCACCAAGACCTGTCATTTCTACCTCCCACATTTTTTGAATTCATTTACTTTTTTCTGACTTTCTTGCTACCACCCTAGTTTAATTCAGTGATCCAGTGCCACCTCCCACTTGGACCACTGTGATGTTCTTGACTTACTTTCTAAAATCTTGCTCCCATCCAAACTAACGTCCACTCTGAAGCCAGTGTTTCTTCTATAATATATGTTGAGTCATACGGATCCTACTTAGAGCCCTTTACTGGCTTCCTTTTGTTGCTATAATAAAGTCTAAACCCCTTAACATGATTTCATAAGGCAAATTATGACCCAGCCTCTACCCACTTTGTTAGCCTTATTTCTTAGTCTTTCTGTCATCATATGCTGTGTTCTTTAGCAATGTTGGACTTTTTTTAGACTTTAAAATCCCATCTCATCCAGGGAATATCATTACTAACAATGACCCCTTAGCCTTGCAATACTTCACTATTACCCAGGATATTTTATTCCTTAGTAGTGCCTTTTTTTTGTTTCACATTTGGCTATTGTCCCATATTCTTGGAAGCATGCAGCTTGAACTAAGACTTGTTCCTAATTACTTTTGCAGGGTTGATTGTCTTAATGTACTCTGAGTCTTTTCATCTCTATCTGCATTTTTATAGAAATCTCTGGGGCTGAAGCTGCAGAACTGGATTTGTATTTTCTTAAACTCTTGGCATATGAGACTCTTTTTGCTCTTTCTTCCAATGTGGAAAACCAAGCCAATTATGTTTTATTAACTCCGCCCGCATCTGATTTCATTGGGCCATGACAGATGTTCTAAATAAAATGGAGATTCTAAGTAAATGAACCTTACCTCCTTTAGTGTTAAAGCCTTTTTAAATTTTAACTCTGAGAATAAAGTTTTCTAACAATGTATTACATATTTTCTTATACTCATAAACAAAAATGTTGAATAGAATTGTCCCTTTTCTTGGTGAGTTTTGGTCATCATAAAGAACATTCCTTGCTTTTATGCTATAGATCGTACTTAGTATCCTAGAAGTATACTTTATTTTATGTATGGAATGCAAATAAACAATTTATTCTAAGTTAAAAAAGAAAAAAGAACATTCAAAACTGAGCATGTTGGCAAACACCTGTAGTCCCAGGAAGATCACTTGAGCCCAAGAGTTCAAGGCCAGCCTAGACAATATAGCAAGATCCTGTCTTTTTAAAAAAATCCTCATATTCATTCTATATCTTTTTTTTCTTTCTGTCTGTATCTTCAGTGTTAGTTGTTACCTCTCCTGTTTACAATGGTTTGCTTACATCCTGTTGAAGCTTAGAGAATCAGAAAACCAAGGCTTTTAGTAATTATCTTAAAGAGGAGGCCAAGAAGTTCTGTCTGAAAAAGCAGAGTGAAGTGCTTGGTTTTGATACAGAGGCATAATGACTGCATGTTTCTTGAAATGAAAACATTTTTTTGTTTACTTTCTCGCAAGTAGAATGCAATTTATACTTCCGAGGGATACGACTACTAAAAGCTTGCCTCCACTATTAGAGTTGTCAATCTATTAGTATGTCCTAGAAAAAAAAATCAATACAACTTTGAAATAAACGGTATATGCTGACATTTATTATAACTTAGCAGAATTGCTACTTCTTCTTGTTTGCTTGTTTCCATATTTTCTTAATTACATTTTTATGTGTTGAAAAATCCATTACTGCCTTATTTTATCCAACTATAGTGGTTTATTCTATTAAATAACATGGATTGGCTGCCCTAGCAGCTTCAGCAATCCACAGTGGTTTATTGACCAGTACTTTGTATAATGTGCTATATGCAATGTTTCTTAACATTTAGCATGTGTAAGCAAGAAAGCAGGCTTCACAGCTTAGAAGACTGTGGTTTAGTAGATCTGGAAATAATGCCTAACGAGCTGCATTTTATAAAATGTCCCAGTCATTCTGATGCAAGGTATCTTTGGTGTATACTTGACGATATAGTTCCTTTTTTTTTTCCTAAGAAACTTACAGTATAGTTAGGGATATGCGATTCTGGAACTTTAGAATAGTAGACATGGAAAAAACCTGTGAGAGCTTCTAACCTGATCCCTCATTTTGTACATGAAGAAGCTGAAGTTAAGAAAGGAAAGTGGGATTTCCTAGTACATTATAGTGAATTAATAGTATAGCTAGGTCCAGAACATTAGTCTCTGATTCCCAGATCTGAATTCTTGAGAAAAAGCTACAGAGAACAATTACAACTTCTTGTAATAAGTACATTTCTTATACTCCTGCTTCCTGGTCAAGTATTTTGACCATCAGCAAAGAGAACTATACACATGAACAATGTTAATCTTAACCATTATTAAACTTTCATTTTTCTGGGTTAAAGTGGCCAAATGTCAGCAATTTCATAATGGGTCAACAAATAAGTGTCTGTGTAACAAGTAAGTGCCAAATGAATCCTTTTTTCACTTCTGACTGCAATTTTTAAAGTCAAGCTCCCAATGAATACATATCGGACATTTCAGTTAAGATTGAAGAGGGTAGATTTTTAAAGAGAGTAATCATAAAGTTATAACCTACGTGGAGGGAAACCACAAGGAATAGAGCAGGAACCTAAAACCAGCAGCACGCACGTCATATAGAACAGGGTTTAAGAGGTGCAGAGATTTTTAGTGGAGGAAATAGCCATTTTGAAGAGATTTCAAAAGTTCAGAACCAGAGAATTACATGCCTAGACTTCTTCTTCCTCTAATCTTTAGTTGAGATGACCAAATTCAAGTTGAAGCCAGAGGCCAACGGAGCCTGTCGATATAGTTTATACATGTCAACTTTCAGGAAAGAGAACCGGTGGAGAAGAGTGGACAATATATCTAAAAGGGCAAATGAAGGATATTGCAGACAAAACGTCATATTTACAGAGTATAGGCCATGATTTTGGAGGAATGTAGCACTATATTAACACTTTCTCTGCATCGATATTATATGGTGGTGGCAGTGATGACAGCTGACACTATGAACTGAAGAGATGATGGGAAGTTGCTTGTTTCCGTTTCACATCTACCGCCAGACTTGGTGCCACTGTGCCAAAGTGTCAGTCCATGTAAGTGTCTGTATTCATCTTGAAAAGTATTTGCTCGATCCTCTTAATCTCACAATGAACTGGCATTTGTGGCCACATATGTATTTACTGTGACTTGGAATATAAGTATGAGAAATCCACTCCCTTCCATTTGCATGCAATCTTTATTGTAAAATGACTTCATCA